TGACTGGGATCGTCACAAAGGTGCCATGAAGAATACTTTTGACGCATGCTGTGCACCCAACTTGAGACGTCGCAACAGTGAATGTCTACCCGAGGTATCGATTAGCTAGATTGAAGTACGGAAACAGGTTCCGATGGGCATTGGGTTTCGGCGTGTCCGTAACTCTCTGAAACGATATCTGAAGGGGAGTCTTTGATTTGACCGGGAACGAGGATGGGTGGAAAAGGCCCGTGCGATGGAGAAAGCCAGTGCTATTGGGAACAGCTGAGTGCTATTCCAACTTATCCGGAACGGGTCCGCGAAATACATCAGTTAGCGAAACAGCTGAGAAAGATAGTTGATCCATTCTCAACGTCATCGACTAACCCGTTGGGCGGAACATTTTTAAGAGCAGTGCATCAGGCCTGATGCGACACTGCGGCTTGCGTAATCACCTGAGCCTATGTCACACCTCCCACTTTGGAAGAGTTACGACGTGAACTTTCTGTGTTGAAACGAAACTTGGCTCATAGACCCAACGTCCATCCGCAGTCTCTGCTGAAAGATGGAGGTGTCTCCATGTTGATTGGACTCGCTTCTCTGTTTAACACGATTTGGAACACTGAAGTGTACCTTCAGACTGGCGACTGTCAATTGTCGTGCCCATATTTAAGAAGGCTCAGCATATTTCGTGCGAAAATCACCGAGGTATTAGTCTTGTTTCCGTTGCATTCAAACTTCTCACGGATATCCTTTTCTGACGACTTACTGTTTTCCGGGAAAACCGAATCACTGAAAACCAGGCTGGCTTGCGCCATGGTTTTGGTTGCATCGGCCACATATTTACTCTTCGCCAAGTTTTAGGGCAGAAACACATACACATGACCGGCTATGGTGGTTTTCTTTGACTTGCTAACTGCCTTCGACTCTGTTAACCACGCCAACATGTGACACTGCCTATCCATGAAGGGCGTGCCAGCTAAACTCCTTTCCATTCTGAAGTCCCTCTACCGTGATTCCCGAGGTTGCGTAAGGGTCTATTGGGAAACTGTCTCCTTAGTTTCCCACGACAAGTGAGGTTCGTCAGGATTGTCATATATCTCCCTTCCTCTTCAACTTTGTGATCGAACTGGTGAATTACTCGTTCCTTTCAGCTTATTCTGGATTGGAAGTTCTGCCAAGCGACTAACTGATAAACCTGGAGTATGCGGACGACATAGTTCTCCTTAGGTCTGATGCATTGGCTATGCAAACACTATTGCACAGACTTGTGCGTAACGCTGCACCCTCCGGCACGTCCTTTGTACTTTCAAAGTGGACCAATACAACCCTGGTTCTAGCTATCACCGAACAGCTGCTGAAAGTGGTGGATCAGTTCACTTACCTTGGTAGCTGTGTCACCTCTGGTCGTCACATCATTGAGGAAATTACTTCGCATATCAGCAAAGCCCATGTGGCTTTCCAGAGACTCAATCATCTATGGGGACGGCGGGGTATCAGTCTGTCAACGAAAGGTAGAGTGTATAACGCTGCGGTAAGGCGGCGTTATCTTATGCATCATTGATCTGACCAGTTCTCAGTGAAGACACTAAACGCACGGCCGTGTTTGACCACAGTTGCTTACGAAGTCTTGCTCACCTTTGTTGGGAACATCGGGTGAGCAACGCTGAGATTCCCCAGTTGGTATTTTACACGAAACCTTCGGATTCCTCACTCGAGTTTTTCCCGAATCTTACTCGCGTACGTTGGCTAAGCCATGTCCTCCGTATGCCAGTTGACTGACTTCCTCGGCGACCATTATATGCCGTGGCTGCACCGAATTGGGTGAAACCGCGAGTTGCCCGATCCATGACGTAGCATGGAGACATGAATAGATTGACTGAGAGACTTGGTCAAGATGGTGCGTGCCGTCTTCGTGAATAAGACACACACACACACTATACACGTTAGCTAGAGGTGGGAAACACCTCAGCTACTGTGCCGCAATACCTAAAAGAAAAAGGGAATAAAATGTAACAGTTGCATGCCTGCTGAGCTACCGATAACGGATGGGCATCGTTCTGGTAAGCTACCAGCCGGCTAATCTGTAACAAAAATGTATTAAACAAAATTATGTTATGCTAAGAAATGAGATCGTGGTTGGAGAGGAGGCTAAGAGGGATGGGACGGACAAAGAAACTCACAGCAAGAACGCCGCTGAGGTCGACTCTTAGCCATGTCACCAAGTGTATCCAATCAAATATGTTCATCGTCTTTCGGACACCAACTAGAGAACCAAGACGCTCCAACCGAGGCCAGCGCCGAAGTGAGGGCCTTCATTCCTCTCGACCAACTCATCGCTTGGCCACCTCTCCTCTTCTTCCATCCACACCCCTGGCGTGCAAATAACGCACGTCACGGGAGTCGGTGAGCTGGCATGCATAACACGTGGCCGAGCCATCAGAGTCTGATGCGTGAAATAACGGTGCTGAGCGGTTCATTTCCTTTTCCTGTGCCGTAAACAAAGCATCCGACTTGTTCGTTGCTCACGTGGTGTTCCCACCAGATGTGAGCCAAATTACGAAGGCACCGGTGGTCGAACGTAACTAGCCTCTATGTCCGCTGATCTAAGGGGCCAGATTTCACAACCGTACAGTAGGGTCGAGCGTACCGCTGCATTGCACACTCTACTTTTCAAGGCGAGAGTGATGTCGCGCCGGTGCCATAAATGGCGAAGGTTGGCAAAAGCGCATCCATCTTTTGCTATACGCTTCGTGATCTCACCTTTGATCCCAAAGGCGCTGAGACAACTTCCCAGGTAGTTGAATTTTTGAACGACTTTTAGCTGATCCCCACCAAGGGTCAGCGTAGGAGGCGGTCCAGATCAATCTTGGAGGAACTCTGCACTCCGATGGTGCAAAGCAAAGCCCTAAGCGGCTGACAGCCAGTGCTAATCTGTCCATTACCGCTTCGCACGTCTAGTAGCTGTCACATATTAGGGCAATATCATCAGCATACTCTAAATCAAGAAGTCGTTCTCCTGGGAGCAGATCCACACCTAAGTCGTGTCCTGTAAGCGCGATTTCTATAACTTCATCAATAGCGAAGGTGAAGAGGAAAGGGGACAGCGCGCATCCTTATCTCACCGCTGGAGATACTAAAGGGCGAGGTCAGCTTGCCGTAAGCCCTCACTCTGCCCGAGCTACGCGCGTATAACGCTCGGATAATATTTACATATTTCTTAGATATACCTTTCCTGAGTAGATACGTGAGTAGGCCGCCTATATATGTGACCGTGCTCCAACAACAGAGGCAAAGTGAAGATGTGGTCAATGCAGCCACGACCTCGATGAAACCCCGCTTGCTCTTCGCGAATATGACTTTCACGAGTGCCAGTCAGTCTGTGAAGGATGACATAGGCAAGCAATTTGGAGGCGATAGAGATCAGACTGATTCCTCTACGGTTGCCGCATTCCGATCGTGAGACTCCCTTGAAAATTGGGACTATGACGGAGCGATTTCAGTCGGTTGGGACAGTTTCCTTCTCCCATAGTTTCACTAGTAACTCGTATAACTCATCCGTGAGAGCAGGTTCCCGGATTTGAAGAGGGCTGGAGGTAGATTATCTGGTCCCGCGGCTTTATTTAGCTTCAGCAGTGCGATCTCACGTTCGACTTCTGAGCGAGAGAGTGAATCCAAAGGGACAGCCCAGGGAGCGGGGCGATCAGTGTCCGCGAGAAATCTAGCAATTCTGACCGATTTAATTGCCTTTCAAATTCCTCAGTCCAACGCTCCATGCCTTTTGACAAGTTGTGGATAGGCTGCTCACTCTCGTTACGTATAGTTTCACTAACACCTTCTGCTGCCCGTTTCCCGTATCAGACGGAATAACTTAAGATTGTTACCAAGGACAGTGGCCATTTCCATCTCTGATGCACGATGAGGCCACCAGGATTCGCTGTCTCTCTTCACGATAGCACGGAGTTTTGCCCGGAGCTCTTTGCGAGTTTCACTGTGTTCGCTTCCAGCCGGAATATGCCGGCGAGCATCGATAAGTTCCAGAGACTGCGAAGAGACCCAATGTCCATGTTGGCGATTAGACTTACCACACGAGAATTTGCCTGCTACTAATAAGTTTCTCGTGAATAGGGGGCCTCGGGATGATCCACACCAGTGGTTGGAGATCGGATCAGACATTGCGCAGTCACGCTGTCATTGGCGTTCCTGCATCTGGTTTTTAATTTTCGTTCCTCTCTGTTTAGTTTCATGCGCATCCTTCTTGCTTCCATTTTCTTTACATTTTATGTGCCTTTACTTGTCGACCCGGAACCTAAAGGTAACCAGCTTGTTATGTAATCTGGCGGCGTGGGTTCGAGTCTGCATAGAGGCAGAGCAACCCTCGCATTTAGATAGACAAGAATGCTGCTGTGCCCGTTGAACGAATGTGGACCGGCTCCGCTGATGCAACCTGGCTCTCATTCACATGCCTCTCGGTTTTATTCCTTCGGATTCACACTGGATATATGGTGTGGGAATGGAGCTGTGGGTGGTCCAGCGCATATCACCCATGGTTTCTCTGTAGGCACATGTATCATTTGGCTGTCCTACGGAGGCCGCAGTGACAGGCAAATTTGGGACCGGATGGCGCCAACCATGTAAGGCAGTCGATTCTGCCCATTTCGTAATAATAGTCGCTATCCACGCTCAGTCTTCCAACTGAGTTCTAATGCCTCATGTGTTAATCACAGGGACGCCTATCTTTGGCAGTCGGATAATCCTTACTTAGCAACATCAATCAACGTGCGTAAGTTTCGTCTCATACCCGTTTCCCTTTACGGCTCTGGTAATATTGCTTTCAACCTCGGACTTCATACGTGACAGTTTCGTCTATCCTCATGATTCAGCTTTATTTTTTATTGGACCTTCATTTTCGATTTCGACGTTTCCGTTGAGGCACCTATCTGTGTTAACCGTGTGAATTTGTTTTGTGATGTACCTGGGGTTCTTTTCTCATCTTCAACTGTCTTCTATGATTAATCCAGCAAGCTTCTGAGTCCGTACCTGCGACAAACACAGAATCCGTTTCGATGTGCTCGGGCTCACCTCCGACTCTGTCCCAATCGGCTAGCTCGGCTCCACCAACGAAGATTGAGAATTCATTTAATAGTACCACTCCGGCCACTTCAAATTGTGCATCTGCAGACGTATCGCTTCCTTCATTGAAGAAGTCTGCGCATTTTTCGGTGAGTTCTTCCAGAACCTTGGTTCCGGCATGCTTACTGCCTAGTGCCAGCATTCTCCAATCGCATTTGATCGCTTTGAAGCTATTCACCCAGTTTGGCCATCCGGGCAATCAGCCTTTTAAAATGTGTTATGCTCTGATGTTTTCTTTCGTTTCATTTATCCCTCGTGTGGTGGCCTGATGCTAAGCTACTGAAATCTTGTTCGCTAAATTTTGTTTCTAGTTTTATGTTGGGAAGATTCATGCGTTTACCTTATAACCCCGACTTTCTGGGTTCGAACCCCCCACTCCCGCTTGAGTTTGTGCGTCCGTACAATACTTCGACCCCTGTGTGCAATCGCTTACGGTAATAAAACACCAGTACATCTCAGTGGTATGTGGCTTATGCCTGTTTCTTACATTTTCAAGTACCCTTAGTGCACAAAAACATTGCAGCAAGATGCGCATTGAAGACATAAGTGTTGTGTTTCCGCTGACAATACGGATAACCGATGCAGCCAAATCAGATTCCAAAGGCTTCTGGCGGAACTTGTATGGAGCACCCGGAAGACAGCATATACAACCAAAATGTGGTGTCATAATAAAAAGTTCATGAGAGAAAAGACCTAATTGGAACTTCCTGACTATAACAACTACTAGATGCGCAAAAACGCGTTGGCTGTTCAGGTAGTGCGCTTACTGGACGGCTTCAAGGCAGGTCATTTTGATTGGTCCACTTCCAGGTAAAACGATGCCATTGGCTTACTACCATTGGCTAGCTAGTCAGCTACAGGCGGCATACGACCAATCTTCTCCGGACTGCTTCAGACAGAAAGCTGGCTTCGAAGACTGCTACCGACGGCCTCCTGTAACATACCCTCACGAAAAGTGACATTAGACTTCCTCCTGGGATCCAGCTGCATTCTGACCACCGATCTCCGTTTCCGATCAGTCCATCGTTGTGTTTGCAAGCTTGTTCCTTCTCTGGCCACCAGGCAAGGCTCATTAGGTCGCTCCTGATTTCCAGGGTGTATATTGAAACTGTCCAACTGCACATCCAGTGGCAGCGATCGTTCACTGGTACTTATTTGAATGTTGGTAAGCCGCAGCTGGTTTGCGTGTCTGGTCCAAATCAGTTCATCCACCCGAACTTTATACAACACTTGTCCAAGTCTGCAAATGATCGATCCTGTGGTCTTCCGTGGCGATAATCTCTGACTAAAACAGGCTGTCCTAGGTACAATAAACGTACTTGCGTCCTGTGCCGCTGATTGAAGTAATTTTACATTTTCGGGTTCCTCTCTTGCGGGACGATGCGCTTCGCCAGCAAAGAATTCAGATTACGTAGTTTTCTACCCATCAGCGCTTCTGCTGGGGACAGCTGATTTGGCACCTGGGTGTTCGGAGTTGATCTGTACACTAGAAAGAAAACATCCAATATCTCTTGGCTAGTTCCTTCCCCTTCGTCTTCAGCAGCGTCCGTTTATAGGTATCAACAAGCGCTCAGCTTGTCCATTGGACTGCGGGTGAAACGGCGGTAAGCGTATGTGTGTGATACCGTTCTGCGTACAGTATTCGGCAAACCGATGCGAACTGAGGGCCATTGTCAATAACTAGGGTTTCTGGTATTCCATGGTGGGCGAAGTCTTCTCAGTATGCCAGTTGATGCGCCACTTGTGCGTTCCATGCCGAACACTTCCGGTCACTTGCTGAAGAAATCAGCAACGATGAGATACTGTTGTCCATTCACTGGACCAATGTAATCCGCGTGTACTCGCTCCCACGGTTTCGTTGACAACGACCAAGAAGACAATTCCGCTTTGTTGGGCGCCTTGTTTACAAACGCACATTTCGCACACGATTTTGTTACCTGTTCCAGTTCCGAGTTGCTATTCAGCCAGTAAACGTAACTCCACGCAATCACTTTCTTTCTGTTAATGCCACGCTGTTCACAATAAAACTGCCGTAGAATTCCTTGGCGAAGCTCCCTGGGAATAACAGCTCCGCCAAAAGTGAACATCCATTGATGTCGGATACTTCGTCTTTTCTCCGGACAGACTGCTATTCCCCATCTAAGTTGTCCTTCGACCACTGTGTAGTATGAAATCTGACCGCTTGTTGTAGGACGGGATCCCGCATTGATGCATCATGTATCATCTCAAAAGTTACCGGAAGTTTTTTGAATCTTTCCAACAACGCCTGATTCACTTCCGACTCCAGAGAGATCGCTGTAATGATAGATTCCTCTTGCTGCGCTGCTAGCTTTCCAACAGCCGGGAAAGTGCATCAGCTTGACCAATGTCCTTTGTAGAAATGTGCTTCACCGTAAAATGGTAATCGAGTCATGTAGTAGCCCACCGCTGCAATCTGTTTGCCGTATAGACAGGGATGCCCGACTTTGATCAGAAAATTGCCAGCAGCGACTTATGATCAATAAGAAGTGTAAACTTTCTTCCATACAGCATTTTGTGAAATTTTACAGAAATGACTATCGCTAATGCTTCTTTCTCTATCTCGCCCTATTTTCGTTCTGCGGCAGACAGCAACGAGGCCGCATGTGCAATTGCATTTCCTTGTGGGCTATGACTGCACCAATGCCATTGTTCGAGGCGTCTGCGGTTACCACAATCTCCAAAGTATGGTCGTAATGTATCAGCTGAAGGTCGGAACCTAGTAGCCTTTTTACCTCGTCAAACAAGTTCTAACATTCTTCGGACCAGTTCCAGCGTTTATCTTTGGTCAGCAGATCATTGAGTAGACCACGCAAGCGATGTATATGCGGTAGGAACGGGCTGTAATGGCTTATGTGTCCTATTTAGGATTTTAGCGTTGCAACATCTTTGGCGGCGGCATCTTATTGATTTCCTCGATGTTCGCTGGGTCTGGACGTCTACCATTTCTGTCGATCATAAAGCCGAGAAACGTAATCGAGTCTATAAAGAAGATACCCTTCTCAGGTTGGAGTCTGAATCCATGTTCCTCAACACGGCCAAGAACTCGATCCAACTTTCCGAATAGGTCAGCAGCACTGCTGACAACATTGATATCCTCCAGGTATGCGGCCGCTCCATCGACATCTGTCAGCATTGTGTCCATGATCTGCTGGAATGTGGCTGGTCCAGACTTGACTCCAAACGGGAGACCGTGATACTGGTACAAACCTCGATGCGTATTGATGGTGAGTAATTCTCGTGAAGCTTCATGTGCCTCTATCTGCAGGTATGCATCAGAGAGATCCAGCTTTGCGAGACATTTACCACCATTCAATTTTGCGAATGAATCACCTGGGAGTGGTAAAGAGTATTGATGGGCGTTCAATGCAACATGTAGACCCGTCGAAAAATCGGCGCATATTCGAATCTGACCGTTTGGCTTTTTGACCACAACAATGGGTGCCGCCCAAGACGAGTAGTTCACCGGATGGATAACCCCTGCTCTCTCTAAGCGATCCAGCTCCTGGTCAACCATTGATGTTGCCGCATAAGGTACAGGGCGTCTCGTACGAGACACTGGAACAGCATCGGGCCTAGGAGATAGTGGACTTTGTACTTTGGTGCACTTACCGAGACTTTCCCGAAAGACTGCTACATATTTCTCCGGTAGGCGCTCGATGGCTACAGTTTTAGGAGCTGTTGTCTTGTGTATCTGGACACTTGCACAAATCTGGTTGATCGGAACATAAAGTAGGTTGAAACGCTCGATTCAGTCCAGACCCGGAAGATTCAAGTTCTGGTGGCTCGTGACGAAAATCGTTCCCCATGCGGTAAAGTCGGCATAACGACAATCACAGTCGACTTGACCAATCAATTTCAACTTCGTACCTGATGCACTTTTCGCCTGCTGACTGGTAGGTTTGATTTCTGGCGACCCGACAATTCTCCACAGCCTTTCTGTTATGACCGTAATGTCTGAGGCCGTATCGATCTGCGAACGCGCCTGTCTTCCATTGATGTTGATCTACTTTCTACGATCTCTGACATCATCAGTAAAATTGGCGTTCAATCTCTTTGCAAAAGACTAGGTTTTCTTTCCTGCATCATGAACCGGTCTGGAAGATGGCTTAGATCTGCAATGAGTTTCTCTGTGCCAACGTCTACGACATTTCTGGCAGATATGCTTGTTGAATGGACACCATCTAACAAAATGCCAGTCTCCGCATTGCCAACATGCTGATGGTGGCTTACCTTGAGGAAGCATCTTGCGATCAGTGGCTGGAAACTTGTTCCTCGAAATCTGCTGAACTGCGAAATCATTGGAATGCGTCTTCATATCTTCGACCCTAACTGTATCGTGTTTTAAGCTGATGATTCTCCTTACCACTGCAATGACAGCTTGCAGTGTGACATCCGGGTCTCGCTCCAACAACCCGAGTATTCTGGTTCGGATCTCGGCATCCTTGGGAGATTGCAGGCTGCATACCAGTATCAGACACTCAAATTGGTCTTCAGTAAGTGATTTCAGCTTGAATTTCTGGCACTCTCGCTTCACTGTTGCTGCATGGGCAATGAGACTGTCGCTGTCCCTCTTGCACAGCTTCAGGCAATTGTACCGATTGTTGAAAAGCGATGCCTGATCGCCGAACATCTCCGTAAGTCGGGAAATTATTTCATCAAAGCTGAAATTTTGAGTATTTTGGTGCAACATGTAATTGATGTATCTGTCCTGCTCCACAATTCCGAGTTTACGTAGCAACAGCCGTACTTTTGACGCATCAAGACTTGCCAGCTCCGTCCCGAAAATATTTTGGTAACCTCTGAATCATGCATCGAAAATCAGTTTTGAAGCGGGATCAAAAGCAAACTCACTGACACTGTTGATTATTGCATCAATTGAAGGCTTTTCAGCATTGCGGACTAATGTAGACTGAGGCGATAGTGCTCGAATGAAAGCCTCGATCATACACAGCTGTGTCGCCTCAAATTGTTGCTGCTACTGTTGATGCAAAATAGCTTTCAGATCTTCTGCTGAGATTGACATGTTGCATAATTCTGCTTCCGTCGCCAGAAACTGTTCGCTGACAGTACGGATAATCGATGCAACCACTCTGGTCACAATACAGCCACTTCCCAGAGAAAAGACCTAATTGGAAGTTCCGGACTATAGCAACTACTAGATGCGCAAAAACTCGATTGTTGGCTGTTCAGGTAGTGCGCTTACTGGAGGGCTTCAAGGCAGGTCATTCTGATTGGTCCACTTCCAGGTAAAACGTTGCCATTGGCTTACTACCATTGGCTAGCCAGTCAGCTACAGGCGGCATACGACCAATCTTCTCCGGGCTGCTTCAAACTTTCTGCTACGAACAACCTCTTGTAACAATAAGTAATGTGACACGCCATTTTTTCTCGTTTGATGCAACGTTGAAATCATCTCAGATTTCCCCACACGCCACGGGAGCATTCAAAGCATCCTCAAGTGTGCGCATTTATTTCAAATCCTCAAGTGTGCCATGCTGAGGCTGATGTTGCATTCTTGATGTTTCTTCACCGCAGTTGGGCTAAACCAACTTACACTTAAACTAGGTCTCTTTAAGCTGCATAAATTTCATTCCACTTTATTTGGTTTGTTTTGCTTATCTGAATAATCTTCTATTAGTTGGCCACGTTGCTTACGCTAATTGCGCTTATCTTCGGTAACTTTGTTGTGTTTGTAGCGTTTTTGAGTAACTTGTGGACATTTTTTTCTTATAGCGGATTCATTGCTAACCAACTTACTTCATATGCTAATTTAGCGATGAGTTATGCCACCGTGTCTGTATGCATTATTGGATTTATTTTATTTCATCTTGTCGTTCCAGGTGATTGGCTGTTGCTTGATATCCCCTGTGTGGTTGCGCTTGATGTGCATGTTGACAAGGTGCCTACTTGTCTATTACCCACTACCTCGTCCATACTGGCTCCAGGAGACAGTTGGTCATTGCTGGAGGGGACGGGGTGCACAGTCCTTGTGGCCGTGCTAAGCTCGAAGAGTGGTTCCATGCAGTCAGTGTGGAGCGGACTACGGTCCAGCCACCGCCTTGTGTGCATTTGATTCCCCAAATACAGTGTGCTTGTGTTTGCCTGTGAAGGAGTGTGGGCCGGCTCCGTTGATGAAACGTGGCTCCCATCCACATGCCTCCCGGTCTTATTCCTTCGGGTTTACACTGGATATGGGGTGTGTGGTTGGAGCTGTGGGTGGTGCAGCGCAAGCCACCCATGGTCCCTCTGTAGGCGCAGGCGTCCTGTGGCTTGCCACAGTGACAGGCAAATCCGAAACCGGATGCCGCCATCCGTATACATATACATATATATATATATATATTTACAAAAGCATATTGTGTGCTCTCACAATCGCTTGCAGCACAAGTGTCGCGCACAATTCTCCCATGTCATGCTGGCATTTGTTAACATATCCAACCAGACATGGTCTAGTTTTACGTGCCTTTAGAAGTAATGGTAACGAGCGTACTGTCTTCCGCATTCGTACACATCGACATTTTTTATTGTCGTTTTGCCTCGTCCATGATCATGTCACGGAGTCCTCTGCATAACACGGATAAATTTTTTTAGCTTCTTTCATCCTGGCCAAGTAAATTTGTAAAGTGATCCTCGTGTATTAATACCTCCGCCTTACGGAGTCTGTAGCGTATAGCTTGGGCTATCCGGACACAATCATTCCACTACACATGGGTGCACTCTGACTCCTCGACTTGATTCGGTCTAGGGTAAACCAATCTTGATATCTGAGCCCTGCAGGTGTGCGTCGACTTGGTCTGCTTTACTCGAATCTAACTAGGTTATCCCATCATGGGAATGAAAACTTATTACCTGAACTGTCACAAGTAAATTAAGTGTCTAAATAAAATTAAGCGGGCATTCTTGATGTGGTTAACATTCTGTGAGCGCACCTTGCTGTTCATTCTGGTTTGAAATTAACTTAACTGTTTCAGCAAATACGTCCATTGACGCCATGTTTATGGGAAAACCGTTTATATTAATTCTATCTCTGCATTGCTTAGTTCGAGTTGGATCGGCTGACGGCTTTTACTGAAGACGCCAAACGTTTCGAAGGCATGACTGGTAGACTCGTTGATATCACCGGGCGCGCAGTGAGTTTCTGGCACTGTATTTTATCAATTACAGCAAAGTGCTTCGTTTCATCCTTCTAATTCTTTGCTCGAATCCACTCTTTTAGCACTTGACGGAGGCAACGGAATTCCTTTGCGAAATTCGCGCCCGATTCATTGAGCTTCAAAGAAGTTTCTCTTCCCTACGCGAAACCTATGAAGTGAGTCTTTCACATTCCGTTGCTTTTTGACTAAAAAGCTACTTTGCTAGCGAATTTCTTTCCGGCATTACCTGATGTCTATTATGCAGAGTCAGATGATCAATTTTTTACAATTCCACTTGTTTCCCAACGTCTAGGCATGGAGGCCGGTTAAGTGAAATGCTCGCAGATCTCATGCCATCTGCGATGACATCATCATGTTTTATTCAGAACTCATTGATTAAACTGCCAGGGGTGATTAGTTTTTCAACCTTCCCTTTCCTGCCACTCCTGCTTCCTCAATGCAGCTGGTCCATATCGTCGAACAGTACTCAATAGCACTAGGGCAGAGACATATACAGACGACCGACTGATGGTTTTCTTTGACTTGAGAGCCGCCTTCGACTCTGTTGACCACGCCAGCTTGTGGCACTGCCTATCCATGAAGGGCGTGCCAGCTAAACTCCTTTCCATTCTAAAGCCCCTCTACTTTGATTCTCGAAGCCGCGTAAGGGTCTACGGAAAATTCTCCTGAGTTCCCCAAAACAGGTGGGGTTCGCCAGGCTTGTCCTATATCTCCCTTCCTCTTCAACTTTGTGATCGAACTGGTCATGAATTACTCGGTCCTTTCAGATTATTTTGGATTGGAACTTTTCCCAGGTGACCGACTAACAAACCTGGAGTATGCGGACGACATAGTTCTCCTTGGATCTGATGTGTTGGCGATGCAAACACTATTACGCAGGTTTGTGCGTAACGCTGCACGCTTCGGCATGTAAGTTATACCTTCAAAGTGCAAACTGCTGTTGCAAGACTTGTCCGACATACCTACGGTTTTAGTTATTTCCGATCAGCCACTGGAACTGGTGGATCAGTTCACTTACCTTGGTAGCTATGTCACCTCTGTTGCTAACGTCACCGAAGAGATTACTTGACGTATCAGCATGGCCCGCGTGGCTTTCCAGAGGCTCAACCATATATGGGGACGGCGGGATATCAGCTTGTCAGTGAAAGGTAGAGTGGATAACGTAGCACTAAGGCCAGTATTACTGTATGAATCAGAAACATGGCCAGCTCGCAATGAAGACATTATACGCATGGCTGCGTTTGACTACCGTTGCTTGCGAAGTCTTGCTCACGTTTGTTGGGAACATCGGATGAGCAACGCTGTCTGCCAGTTGGTTTTTGGAAAGAAGCCGTCTTGTGTCTTCCTCGAGTGTTTGATAAATATTAGTCGCTTGCGTTGGCTAGGCCAAATCCTCCGTATGCTCGTTGATCGGCTTCCTCGGCGTACATTATACGCAAGCACGGCAGAACTCCAAGGGCTGAGAACGAAGTTCTATTACACAACACATAGCCTCTACAAAAGGTAAGTTAACCAATGTAGTGTTATTGTTCTCCTCCAGTAATTGAGCAGGAAAGGCGCTCTGAAAGGCAAACGGGAGTGCCGTTATAGTAACGATTCAACTTTGAACGCGCGCCAAAACAATATCGATTCTTCTCTACACCACACCTCCTCTAAGCAGGCAGCGTCCCCGTTGCCACACCATAGCCGCCCTGAGCCGGCACCTCCAGTTCAACTGCTACTTCCCCAGGCGTTTCGTTCGGCCCCTCGACAGATTGGTCAGTTTTACTCCGGAATGGCTTGAGCCGATTGAAATGTACTGTCATGGGTTGACTGGCAGGGTTGTTGGGATTTTTGATAACACATGTCACATCCGATATCACCCGCTGTATTATGTACGGTCCTGTCCACTCATGGTGTAGCTTAACCGGAACTCCTGCCGTTGGTACTTGGTGCAAGTAAACTTGGTCGCCAGCCTTTAAAGGAGCGCCGAAAACTTTCTTGTCGTAATAGTCTTTCTGTCGTCGATGGGCGTTCGCAAGGTGAATACGTGCCGCTTGATGTGTTTGATGAAGCGAATCAAGGAGTTTGCTAACATACTCTGTCACCGATGAATGTGGCTGTTGCGGACTGGGTAATCGGATGTCAGACGGTAATCGGACTTCTCTTCCGGTCCACATAAAAGATGGTGTTTGACCAGTCGAAGCGTGCACTGTGCTTCGATATGCCAGCAAGCATTTTGGTAACATAGCGTCCCACTCACTTACATTTTGCTCCACAAAGGCCTTCAGTAGCGATTTCAGCGACCGGTTTGTACGCTCAACTTGTCCGTTGCCTTGCGGGTGGTAAGCAGTCGTTCGCGTCTTGTCTATACCGAACACACGACAAAGTTCCTGAACCAGCAAACTCTCGAAACATGAGCCCCTATCAGAATGTAGCTGCCCTGGTGCCCCCCAGTGACACACCCAGTGATTTACCATCGCCGTTGCTACGGTGACTGTATCGGCTTGGGCGATCGGAACTGCTTCGCACCACTTGGTGAAATAGTCGACCATGACCAAGATGTACCGATGGCCACGTGATGTTTCTGTTAGGGGACCAACAAGATCTACTCCCACAATCTCGTTCGGGTAGCCTTGTCGATGGTGTATTGTATCCTAAGCAGAGCTACCATCCAGTCGCACCTGGAGTCAGCGAACCTGGTGCCCGAGTGCGTAAACGTGGAACACGTCACCCAGATTTTCCGGTTGTGGATGAACTCACTAAAAACCGTTTGCTCACCCGTCACGAAGAGTTGCCGGAGAATCTGGACAAGCACTTCGAATTCTATCATCGTCGAATGGATGGGCCGATAAAACGCTTTGTTGATTCGCATGATCCCGCTGCTGTGATAACGGTGAATGGAGCGTTGTCTCCATCCAACCTGTTGCAAGCAGTGCTTGTTCGTTTCGCAATAATGGCACGACATCCCGGTGTACCGACTTCGATACTCTTCCCAGAAGACGGCGTCCCCGATGAACAAGACATCGTGGACACCTGCCAGTGTCAGTGCGGTGACAAGCAGGGCTTCTCTGAGTTGAGCCGTGACCTGTGGAGCGACCGTGTACCTCATGTGCTGATCCTGGGCAATTCATGTTGCGGTAAAACTACGTTGGCAAAACGGTTGTACTAAGTCGGACTAAACCTCGTGGTGGCCACTCCATGACAAGTCATGGAAGCTTGAAGAAATTGACTGAGAAACTTGCTCAGGCTGGTGCGTACCGTCATCGTGGAAGGGGGCCTCGGGATGATCCACACCAATGGTTGGAGACCGTATCAGATATGGCGCGGTCACATAGTCATTGGCGTTCCTGCATTCGGTTTCTTGCATCTTGTTGTTAATTTTCGTTCCATTCTGGTGCATTTGCTTCTTGCTTCCATTTCCTCTACACTTTATTTGCGCCAAACTCCACCCGTGTAATTTATTGTTATTCTTACGCTTTGAGTCATAGCAACTAGATCCACCGCACTTCGTTACTCGGAAATTAGTTGATCTACTGAATTGAACTCGATAGTTGAAACTGGCCAGCAACATATAAAAACAGAAGGCACCTCGATCTCTATATGACTTTATTTTTGATGTTTTCGGAGGTATTTTTCATCAAGGATAGTCCGATGCACAAGCCAGCAAGGTGTACGTTTGTTCCCCCTCAAACTATTGACCGTTTGTCTCCGCAAAGCGTTCCCTATCATATGTTGTGTAGCGGTCGCCTTTGCAGGCTGTATGGGTATCAGCAGTACGCCGGCACGCCGTACCGACAGTTCTCTGCCTTGCGACTACCATCGGTCGCGCGTGAGCTAAAGATACTGCGCTTGTCGCCTACTTCCTTACGCAGGCTCGAACCGGTGACATTCGGATAAAAAATAGATGCATGATCCTTTCGGTCACCAACCGGGTTGTCACTTGATGGCACCTTCCACAGCACGACTTCGAGTCACTACCACGTGCTGTGGTACCCGAATTAATCTACGCGATGAAACGGTGCTTTCCGATGCGCTTGTCGGATTATTACTGGCTACCAAAATTCCTTTGATTAGACCCTTATATTCGTTCCTCTTGGATGCATTATCGCTTTTATTAACAGCTGTGGATGTTACTTTCATAACCGGACTTTGCTAATGACCGGGAGTGACGTCGAAGGGCCATTTGATGCTTTATTATTCATGATGCAGCACTGAACGTGAGGTTGTCCACTGGATCACGTCGCAGTGAGTCTGAACCTTAACGTGGTGCAACGGTTTGTGTACCTCTTCGATCCATTGAGCTATACTGTGTGGTGCCCCCGGACCCCTTGAGAGCTACTTCTACCAGGTTGATCATGGTTAAAGGTCTGACAAAGTCAATCTCCTGGTCCTCCAGATTGGGGTTTCGAAATGGAATGACGCCCATATCCGTAAAACTAAATCATTGCCACCTCCCCGCTGCCTTGTGGATGGACTATTAAGCCAGTGACTTCGATTGAGGACCCTAATCGTCCTCATGTCTAGGTCTGGACAGTCTGACAGTATCTCCTCCCACGCACAACCATGTCTCTTTCCTAAAACTGCGACCACATCCGGCATTGGCCGTCGTACAGCTTATCAAGCGTCGCCTTAGCTACTGCATGCAACAGGGCGAATAAGTAAAGACATTCTACTGCTGTTGCCTCCCTTTTTTCTTTTCCACCTGCTTCTCTTGCTCCCCTGACCCCATTACTAACCCTTCCATAGTTCCCAGCTTCGTTGACAGTCGCCGTAATTCCCCTGGAGTCATACCATCTGCAGCTACCTTTCCGCACCCCCACTGGACGCATATCCGCAACAGTCCCCTCTAAGGTCACGCTGTCCCGTTTCGTTGATGGCGTTTAACATTCGCACTCTAGGACAAATAGGTCGACAGGCTTCAATTGAACGCACGTCGGACACCCGGGGAATTGATGTGTGTATTTGTTCGAAACTTGGATCCATAATCTCCACGGGGTTATGGAACTAACTGCGCTATTGATTACACACATCCGAAGACCCCGATGCGGCTGCTACTGGTCAAGTTGGAGTGAGCATTGTTCTCAGCTCCAAGGGTGAGTCATCGTTGGTTAACTGGATTCCCGTGGCAATCGTTTGTGTGCAGTCCGTCTGACGACTTCCACTAGGATTTGTTCACATAGCAACGCTAGACGCTATTTGTTTGTGATCTCCGCTTATGCCCTCACCGACTGCAGTTCTATTGCTGTCAAGGACACCTACTACGAGCTGAACACGCTGCTTCGCGTTGTTACCAGTTCAGATATAGTTGTCGTTGTAGGGTATATGTATATGCAAGTAGATCGCCTGAGCTCTTCAGAAGCTCAACTAGCTGGTAACTCTGCACTTGCCTTCGATCGTGTGGATAATGGCGAGCGTCTGTTGCAATTGTGTGCAGAACACCGGCTGTCACTTAGTAGCACCGCTTTTAAACACAATGGGTACCGATGTGCCACTTGGCGTCCCCTTATAACTGGTCAGCGGTAAACGCAAATGGATTACATAGCCATAAGTTACAGGCGGCGTGCATCCATCCTGGATTTTCGATCGCCTTGGAATACTTACGTCGACCCTGATCATGTATTGGTACGCTGTCGTGTGGAAATTGAGAATAGCTGTAGCTCGGGGTCTGGATGCGGGTTAATGTGTTCTCCGAACTGGGTAATTTTATTGCAGACATTTCATTGTCAAGTTAGGCAACATCCTCAGTGCAGCTATTAGGGTCTGATTCGCAGAGCCTCGTAAACCACTGCCAGATCCAAGTGAATATTGACCGGCTCCTGCTTTGAATGTCAGTCCTCGATTCGCTCACGTGGTCGCGCTTTCGCCCTGTCGATCTGGTATTTATTGTTGTCATCACATGCAATGCTTCGTAGATACCCAATAGTTCCAGGTGCTTGTTGATCGAGTTCCGGTCCGAATGCCAGGATTCGATGAACTCACGCGCTCTGCGGTTCTTCGCTCTTCCAAGTATCTTGGCGTTTCCCAAATCGAACTGATGGTCTTCGGCATCCAAATGTACTGATACTAGTGACTTTTCATCATGGCGGCGGATGACCAGACTGTGTTCATGCAGTCTTGTACCAAGTTTCCTCCCTGTCTGGCCAACGTAGTACTTGTCGCAACCTTTGCAGCAAATTTTGTAAATCACACCTGATGTTTTTTCTTTACTCAGCTGATCTTTTACTCTAAAACGTTTACTCCGAACGGTTTCCGTTGCTTCATGTATAACGTTGATCCCGTGAGGTAGTAAAAGCCTCGCTGCCATTTCAGAGATCGCATGGATATAAGGTAGGACGATGGTTCTCCTTTCCATTGCGCTGGTGGAAGGGGGTTGTGGTTGATTCTTCGACGTCAGGCAGCCTATAATAAAACTTTTAGGGTACGAATTCCACTGAAACATGTTAAATAGGTGATCTTCCTCCGCTTTCCTCAGTTGCAGCATGCTACAGTGTGTTTAGGCAAGTTTGAAAAGTGTCCTGATGAACCTGCGTTTGTAAATCACCGGGTGGTTACTGCAACAGTTTAAGATCTGATCAGTGTGAGTCGCTCTTCGATAGACTGTTGTTTCCAGGGGCCCGGAAGCATGTCTTTTGACGAGCACTTCCAAGAATGGCAACTGGTCATTGTTCTCTTCCTCTTTGGTTGAATGGATGCCGGGGAATATATTATTGATAAGGTGATGTGTTTCTTGTAGTTTGGAGCGCTTGATGATGACAGTGGTATCGTCCACGTAACGTATCCAAAATTTGAGCTCCACCATCGGCAGTGCCTTTTGTTCCAGTGCTCGCATCACTGCCTCGGCTACCACTCCAGAGATTGGTGAGCCCATTGGCGTGCCCATTATCTGTTTGTACGTTTGACCATTGAAAGTGAAGTGTGTGGTGAGACAGAAATCAAGCAACTCCATCATTTGTGGGACTCCAATTCTATTGTTCGTAGTTGCCGCCCCGTGTTGTTCAAGTACGGTCATCATTGTTCGCCTTGCTAATTTCATGTCAATTGGTATGAATAAAGCTGTGACATCAAAGGATACCATCATCTCGTTACTTTCTATTGTTATTCCTTTGCGTTTTCTAAGGAATTGTTCTGCCGATTTGATTGAATGCTCTGAGTCTACGGTTAGATATTTCAGCCGTTTCCAGAGTTCTTTAGTTAGTTTCTAATTCGGTGCCCCGGGTAATGACACGATAGGGCGAAACGGTACCCCATTTTTGTGTACTTTTGGTAGACCGTAGAACCTTGGTATCACTGTATCCTCGGGTTTCATTTTGCTAGGTTCTAACTTCGTGATCTATCCAATTTGTTCATCTTTGAAGTGCTCGTTTGATCTGGCTTTCCAAACACCACCTTATCCTTAATATTTTCCATGGCATCCATTCAACTAAAGAGGAAGATAACAATGACCAGTTGCCATTCTTGGAAGTGCTCGTCAAAGGACATGCTTCCGGGCCCCTGGAAACAACAGTCTATCGAAGAGCGACTCACACTGATCAGATCTTAAACTGTTGCAGTAACCACCCGGTGATTTACAAACGCAGGTTCATCAGGACACTTTTCAAACTTGCCTAAACACACTGTAGCATGCTGCAACTGAGGAAAGCGGAGGAAGATCACCTATTTAACATGTTTCAGTGGAATTCGTACCCTAAAAGTTTTATTCTACGCTGCCTGACGTCGAAGAATCAACCACAACCCCCTTCCACCAGCGCAATGGAAAGGAGAACCATCGTCCTACCTTATATCCATGCGATCTCTGAAATGGCAGCGAGGCTTTTACTACCTCACGGGATCAACGTTATACATGAAGCAACGGAAACCGTTCGGAGTAAACGTTTTAGAGTAAAAGATCAGCTGAGTAAAGAAAAAACATCAGGTGTGATTTACAAAATTTGCTGCAAAGGTTGCGACAAGTACTACGTTGGCCAGACAGGGAGGAAACTTGGTACAAGACTGCATGAACACAGTCTGGTCATCCGCCGCCATGATGAAAAGTCACTAGTATCAGTACATTTGGATGCCGAAGACCATCAGTTCGATTTGGGAAACGCCAAGATACTTGGAAGAGCGAAGAACCGCAGAGCGCGTGAGTTCATCGAATCCTGGCATTCGGACCGGAACTCGATCAACAAG